GTATGAATGTCCTTGAAGAACTGAACATTTTGAAAGCTGAAATTATGCTGAAGTAGAATTTCCCCCATTCATTTCAATGGGGCATGATTTTCAAAATAAACCTATATATTTCAAAGGTATAAGGTTCAGAAATAAGTAAGGATAATCATAAGATGATTTATGTGTGTGTTTGTTGAAATAATCATTAGAGAATGTGTAAGAATAAAATGTGAAATGATTGTATTGAAAGAATGGGGAGAAGTGATTTTACATCTAAAAGAGTGAAAAATACAAGAATCACAGAAAAGAGGAAGTAGACACACATCCCTAAAAGGAGGAACTAAAAAAGTTTATGCGTGCCAACTTTTTCTCCAACTTTTTTTTCTCCAGGAGACCGAGGACTGCGGAAAGGCAGTCCAGGAACAGCACCCCTCTGGGTGTGCTCCCCCACAGGCACCTGGCTTGTGAGGGTGAGATGGATGTCGACGTGGGAGAGAGAGAGCACCTTTCTGGGGTAGTGAGATGGATGTCGATGTGGGAGAGAGAGCACCTTTCTGGGGGGTGAGATGGATGTCGAGGTGGTTTAAAAGGCTTAATACGCTCTGTGGTTATTGAGTCAAGTTTGCTGTCATTGACATTCCTATGGTTTTGGTGAGTTTGCACTTTTGACTCTCTGGTGCATACAGTCACCAGTATGATGATTAGTAGTCCCTGCAACACGCCTGCAATGAAAACATTCACACAGTAGATGGTTTCTATTGAAACTGTTTTAAACCTGCATGGAAAAATGCAAAAATCAAAGTCAAGCTAAATTTAACAAAACATTATTCATTAAAATGAGGCAATTGCATACACAGGCTTTTAACATCTTATGACATGATGTAGGTGTTATGAGAATTTCCCTAATAAAGCAACAAAGTCACTAGAATTATCTTAAGCAGTTTAATTTTTGTGGCAAGGAGACAAGTCAGCACAATGGTACAAAGTTGTGTGAGTAAGGTAGGTTCACACAGCATAATATATAGTTAAAAGGCACGCCCTGATAGTGCAACCTAGAAGCTAATCATACTGGAAAACATGTTTAGCCTGCGGTTGACAGTTGTGTCTCACTTCGTCTGTAACATTCTGTAGTCGGGTATATCACAGTACACAGAGTTTCACATGAAAGATAGGAAATGTCCTTCAGGCTTACACAGTCAGTTTCTCACATGGCTCTGTTCTGAAAGTTTAAAACATATTTAATAACATCATTTTTATAACAATAGGCCTCCACACTGCAGCCTATTTCTGTAGAGCTTAAGTTCAACAAAGACCCTTAGCAAAACCTGAGCTTTAAGCAACAAACACATCCATTCAACAAGAAATTCTGAGAAAGACATTTCAAAACATAAAGTGCACTTAAATTTACATGCCTGTGAAGGTAGTTAGTAGACCCTGCTCAGTATGATAGTCTGCCTTTGTGATGTCTGTGCTTTTAAAATACTGTATGTCCAAATGATTTGTCATTTATGACAGTCACTCATCTTCTCAGGTTTTTTTTTCTGTGCTCTAGATGATCAGCTACCCCTCACTGTTTTAATCTGATGGTTTGATCCTTTTCTTTCATCACTAGTGATGGGTCTCACTGCACACACACTAACACAACATTCAGTCAGTGCAGTGCAGAGGGCCCATGGCTGAGCAGAATGATTATCCTATTACTCTGTCTTGTATTAATTAGCACAAAAAAGAAAGAAAAAAATGATTCTCAGATGGGAGCTAAATCTCATCATCCATGTAAAGGAGCCGGCTCAGCGAGCTGACGTGTTCACAACTGACATATCACTAGTCTGTGATGTTTCAGGTTTTGGTGAAGTTGTCATAAATGTATAAGTTCAGTTATATGTTTACTATTTTGGTCATAGTTAAATGTAGTGTTATACTGAGCTACAGTAGAGGTGTCTCTATATTTTTGTCCACCGTATGTGAGGTCAGAATTTTAGGAACATCTCCGAATATAATGTAGTCCAGTACACCACCACCTTTAACTATGACCTCAATAATAAATATATAATTGATTGGTGCATAAACATATTTATTAGCTTTCTGGAGATTCTGAGTTTATCACACATCATGGAATTGGGTTCTTTTCCTCTGAAGACTTTAAGGAATTCTATTCCAGCTGGTATATTTTTCCTCCAGTGAAATCCTCAAGAGGAATGTGTGTTACATTACTTTTGTGACTATGTGTGCACCTGTAGGTCACTAGCTATTTATACACCCACAAATGGCTATAAAAATGGATGATGTTAATATTGTATCAATAAATGTTGAGATTAACTGGTTAAAGGGTGTATGAAGGCCACGATATGCTAACCCCTGGACATAGGAATAAAGCTTAACCTCTCACACTAAGGTGGCAAAACCTCCCAAATAACAACGTGCAGTTATTGTGGCAGCTACCTCCTTAAACCCTCAGATGTTACTGTACTGAGAAACTTTTATAAACCAGTATACTCTGCCCCATTAAGGAAGGGTTAAGTTTTGTCTGAAATAACCAATGAAAGCTGTGTCACTGGACACTTAAGACCATATCTGTTTTGTACAGTATTTAGTTGACATAAGATGTTATTAAGGATAGGAAATTTAGAGAATAGTGTATATTATGTAACAAGTAAACAGTTGGATATTTTAGATAAACCCTTTTCTGATGTAACTGTCTAAAATCATTTAGCAGTTCAATCTTGGCCTACTGTCAACCCTGTGAACTGTTATGCAACCTCAGACACATTAGGAATTAGGTAATCACACTCCCTGGGAATTGGGTGATCAAACACTGAGAACTGTGTACCTTAACCATTACCACTTAAGCTGAACATTTATGAAGTGTTTCAGAGGAATTTTCAGAATATCAAGATATATCATGTATTGCAATATAGCCTAAAAATATCACAATATTATTTATAAGCCCTACTGCTCAGCTGTAATTCATGTGTGTCCATGACTGTGCCATACTTTTATATAAAATCCCTGCTGCTGTTTCTATGATCTGATGACTCAACAACTTGTCTTACACTGTTCCTGTGTGCTGCTCCTGTCTCCTGCTGCTAACAGTGATGGGACTTCTCATTAGCACATAAGATACTGGTGAACAAACAAGCTGTTAATAACGCTGCTCTTCCATCTCTACACAGCCTGCATAAGGAGACAAGGTTGAAGTGGAGGCTCATTCAGTGAATGACGGAAGAAGAGATGACGAGCAGAGATGGGTGGTAGGAATGAAATGAAGATGTTGATGGAGATGTGCTATAGCCTGTGTCAAGACCTCAATAAAGACTGAGACACAGCTCTCTGCTCATCCCTATGGAGCTCAGGATGAGGCTTAGTGTGCGTCAGTCAACAGCATGGTGACATATGTGTCATTATTTATGCCATCAGCTCCGCAGAGATGTCCAGAGATACCTGAAATAGCTGAAAGTATGGTGAAGAAGAATTTTCCCATTCCCATTCAGGAGCTCCTTACAGAGGCCATTATTTCTGAGCACATAGACCAACCTGGCCACTATTGAGCTCAAGGACAATCAGCAGCAAAACTAACCCACAAACGAAATGCATCACATCTGAGGAGAGGCACTAAACCTGTCATCAGTATAAAATTACAGTGAAATATAATCAACCAGTATTTACTTGATCTCCAACGATGAGTTGGAACAATAGCATGGATATAAGCAAGCATGAAAACACTGGAATATAAAGTTGATTATGACACATTCCATGCTTCACAATAATGCATTTTTGCTCATAACCTATTTAATGCACCAGTGGAGTAAAGCAAATCTAAGATATGACTAACAAGGGATTAATAGTTTCACTGTAGCACCCAGCCTGAGAACTCAGTGATGGACAACAAGGTAAATTAATGCCCCCTCCCCAACAACAATCAGGACAAGGTGCTGCTCTGACTTCTGCACCTCAGCCACCTCTAGCGTGGCACTAAAAATGTGTTGGGAGGATTACTGGTCAGTCAATTAGAGTGTGGCTCTAATCCATGCAAGGTAAAGGTCATTTCTTAGTAGACAGTGGGATTAGGACCTCACTTGGCTTGTTACTTTACTGAATCCACATCACCTGCCTATACATCCCAGTCCTCTGCAAAAATAAATAAGTAAATAAAAGCTGCTGCTCAGTAAACAACTTCCAGCCATCAATCCTCATCTGCAGCTACCTCACCACTGTGAGGGATGGACAAGGCCATGCATTATTGAGCTACCACTTCCCCACATGCTTACCTAATCAAGAAGCATGGGAAAAGTCAATGTTATAAACTGAGAAGTGTCTTCTTGATAAAGGTCACACATATTCACAAAGTTTAGCCCACAAATGTGCAAAATGGTCATTAATCAAGCTACAAATATGATTGAGTTTCGCTTATCCGATTTGATCATTGTAGGCAGAGAACAAGTTTTTTTCATTAGGAATGTAGGCCACTGCATATGTGTGGTGCTCCCCTCTGCAGCTAAAAATATGAACACTGTCAGAAGCCATGTTTCACATATGGTGTTAACTAAACACTCCAGCTATATTTCAGCTTTCTGGGAACAGTAAATTGAGCTGAATCAAAGGGCAACTGGGAGCTGCTGTAGAGCAGATATTCACTGTGTTGTGAGAACCTCTTATTCTACAGTACATTAACATCAGCGTTGGGATCCTTTTTGGGGGGGGTACTAATTGAAATTCTCAGCAATGATGGCCTATTCCACTCTGTTAAAAGAGCACTGCGCGGCTCCCAGAGTCGATTTAAGACAAATAGGGCACTATGATAAAGGCGTCGGAACACAGACTAGGGAAAAGCATCACAATCTGAAATAAAGTAACAGTTTTCCATATAAGAAAAGTACTGCATAAATCCATTCACTGCTAGAACATCTCTTGCTAGGTTATATGCAAAGACAACACAACACTGTATCAGCCTGTTTTAAGTTACCGTGGCAGCATCCACAGCACGGATTATTAACGGAGTCACAGTGTGGCTCTCTTCTTACCTCTTGTATCAGGCTTTTTCAAATGGTTTCCCAGTCCAGAAGATGTCATCTGTGGTCAAGGCATGGTAGATTTCGCCTCAACGATAATTAATTCCAGTAACGTTTGTAATTTTCATACCCTCTCCTAAATTCTCGGTTTCGCGTGGTCACTTTCTGTTTGCGCGTATAAACCGACAGACAAGCGCACCGCTCCACTGTTCACGAATCGCTTTGACCAAACCGCTCCACTGGCCCCTGACGTCGATCAAGTCGATGTGGACAATTTTAAGTTTGAGATAGTCATACGTTCCTGTTCCGATACGCGTCCAAAATAGATAATACTTAGGATTTTTCTCCCTCCCAGCTCTGTGCTGTTGACTGCGTTTGGATTCAATTGCTAATACTTGCAATCTACAGTCATATCCTGACTGCACCCTGTGTTGACAGCAGAGAGAAAGAGACAGCACACGGTGGCTGGCTGGAAATTCATGGCCGCGTGACACATTTTAAATACAAACAAAATGCGTTTTATATTGCACTTAGTTCAGTATCAGCAATAGCAACACCATCATCATCGTGGTGGTGATGATGAGAATAACACTGCATTATTGCAAAACAGGCATTGAAACTGGGAGCCACTGTCTGAAAAGGCAGTCCTTAAGAAGGGTTTATAGGTATATAATGCTCGCTGAGACCGACAGGTGACAGCTTGCCCCAGTATATATACATCTTGTCAATTGATTAGAAATTGTTTTATCGACTATTTTGTTTTTAAATGTTATTAAACAAAACACTATCATTCAAAGCAGTATAACAATTAATAACAGTTAATAAATTAGAGGTAAACTATTTATGTTAAGGAGTGTCCAATGTCTATTGAACTTGCTCTGGACTGCCTTTAAATGACATTTAATAATGTTTAACATATTGGGTAAGTCTGTTTTTACAGAAAGAAGGAAAAAAGGAAAAGAGATTGCCAGAAATTCTAAAAGAAAATCTACCTGTATATTATTGACTTTTAAATAACACAACAGTGAAGGAGGCACTTGATGCTGAAAGACAGGCACAAAAAAGTCCACTCCAAAAAAGGGGTGGGAGTCCAAATATAAATCAGTGAAAGAGGTACAGAGAAATCACTGAAGAATGAGAAGGCAGCAATAAAAGACTAGATGAAGATGAGTGTTTGTGCCTTGTCTGTGTGGAGCCATTCGCTAACAACCAAATGAAATTTGGGTACAGTGTATGAAATGCAAGCAGTGGGCCCATGAAGAGTGCACCCCAGGCCAGACAATTTATGTGTGCCAGAACATTTTTCTGATTATGACTTAGTCTTACTAGAATCAAAATAAAATACATTAACCTGCTGACAAACCTGAGAGGATGTGCATGCATCAAGGGGATATAAAGCACATGAGTTCACTGGTATGTTTGCTTATCCTTTTGAGTAAGTAAAGCACAAGTACCTTAAATTTGTACTTAATTTCATTACTCTATGCAGCATTATTTATGGTGTAATAAGGGTGATGCACACCAGCATGAAAACATCATCCCACCAGTGAAGTAAATTGGAGGGAGCATCATGTTTGGGGTTGCTTTGCTGCCTCCGAGTCTGGACAGCTGCTATCATCTAGGGTAAAATGAATTCCCAAATTACTTCAAGTACAGTATTTTGATGAAGCTCAGTAGATGAGTGATATAGCAGGACAGTGACCCTAAACAATTAAGCAAATTTACTAGAGATCTAGCCCAGACCTCAACGCAAAAAAAAAAAAAATGCTGGTGAATGAGCTCAGAGAGCTGTTGACACCAAACAAACATGCAAAGAATATGTCTGAGCTGAAGCAGTCTTGAGGAAGAATGGTCAAAATTCTTACTCTTTTGCTCCAGTTTAATCCCTGGCTGCTGTGGATGATTGAAGCTAATTTCCTGCACCTGACTGACTGAAATCCTGTCTCCTGCTGCTGCTGCTGTAATGCCAGGTTTTTACTGTACTTCTTGTGCTCCAGTGCTTTTAGTTGTTTTCTTGCCCCTGTCTTTCATTGTGTGTTACAGGTTTAAGAACCCTGCCTGTTTTTGATTCTTCTCCTGCTTATCTTTCTTTGTGTTGTAAGTTACCAGTGCTAATCTGTTTTTTGGTTGTTGTTGTTTTTTGTTTTTTTTTTGACTAATTATTGTTTGGTCTTGGGTAATGATGTCCAAACAAGGCCCCATGAAGCTTTGAACCTTTTTGGACTGTAAGATTTGAGTCTTATAGACTCTAGTTACTTTATCAGCTTTAGTTACTTCTCATGCCTTTAGTTCTCTTTAGTTACCTTTCATAATTTTATCTTACTTGATTATACATATTACAGCTGTATTGGTTATTGTGCAGAACTACTGAGATTTGGTTATTTGAATACATTTGTTTCCCTTGCTTATATATCTTACAACTGTAATGAAGTAGAATCTGCTTACTTTGAATGCTGTAACTTCTGGGTAGAGACAGGATGTCTACATATCTTTGTGACCAGACAGCCTATTTACATTTTAGCAAAGGCCTGTTTCACACCCACACATAGACCCACATAGCATATCCCAA